CTTCTGGTTGAGCTCTGATCATCCAGTCATTGAAGCCAGGTCAAGTGGGTATTATCTGCAAGTGTGTGTGTTCTTATGCATATGCCCTTTCTTCTTGTCAGCTGGATGCTTCACTCTCCACTCTAGTCCTCTTTGGCTATGTCACTGACTCTGGGCCCAAGTGTCCCCTGGTCTTGCCACACTGCTGGCCAACCAGGTCTCCACCTGGGTTCACAGGAGTCTGTTGACCATTGTAGGGCTTAGCTTGCAGCTTTGTTGCTGTTTTTCCCTAACTTCCCCTTATCGGTGACGGACGTGATCACCAATCAGAGTGTGTTTGCTCGTGTATTCCCATTGAGTCTTACTCTTGGAAGGGGGTTTGCCTTGAGGGGACCCAACCACTTGCCTTGATGTCTCCTGTGTGAGCAACTTGCTTGTTCTTGTAGTAATCAGTCAGTCTGCTGTTATTGTTTCGTATTTTTCCTGTCGGTCTTTCTTTCATGAAGTATCTTCTGTTCTTCTAGTTGCTCCAGGCTGGCTAGGACTGTTTTTTTGCTTTGCACTTTTTATCATTGGTAATAATTTTTGACATACAATATTGCAGCACCTAAATTGCTGATAGTCTTGGTGTCATGCCGCTGGATAATGCACTGGATAGCAAGGTTGGCTTGAACCGAGAGATCAGCAGCTCAAGTCTACTAGCCACTTCTTGAAAACCCTAGAAAGGGTCGCTGTTGAGTCAGACCGACACAACAGCACATGACAAACAACAACAACATCATTCTCAAATGTTTACTCACAGATGTTCATAGATCAGATTTATTATAAAGATACTGATAAGAAGATGCTTTAAATAAAGGTATTTGATTTACATTAGAACCAACATAGGGCAGAGTTGTAAGGTGGGGAGTACCTATACTACAATTTACATTCTCATTATTGGGCATGTATGTTGTTTCCAAGTTTTACAGTATTTACTAGAACTTTTTTGTACGCGTATATGGACATGTTTGTTGTAACACAAGTGGGTAACTTTAAGGAACAGAAATTTATAGTCTTGCAGTTTGGAGGCTAGGAGCCCAAATTCAGGACCTGGTTGGCTATGTTCTATATTTTGATATGAACTGAAAAAGAAAATGTCTTTTTTACTTTTTCCCCTGTCTTTTCTGCTATTTCAGGTGCAAGTGAAAGTATAGGGAAACATATGCTTGAAGCCTGCAACAATAATCTGGAGATGGCGGTAACTATGTTTTTGGATGGTGGAGGAATCGCTGAAGAGCCCAGTACCAGTTCAGCAAGTGTCTCCACTGTCAGACCACACACAGAGTATGAATTTATTCTTTATTGTTAGGAACATCCTCCTGCGTACATTAAGCAGTTATATTTTTATCAAAGGTTAATTCTCTGCTTTTGAAAAATTAAAGATTTGAAAGTGCATGAATATTTTATAAAAATCAGTAACAAAAAACACAAGGCTGGTCCCTGTGAGTTGGTTAACGATATCCCAACTAACTGACTTTTCCGACATGTTATGTCCCTCTATAGTCCTTGATATCAATCATCACTCTTCTCTTCCCTTAAGTCCCAGAGTTCAGCAACACGCTGCAATGTCTCACAGAACTCACAGTTGTCAAAAGAAATGGCTCATGAAATTATGGAGGCTGGTGAGTCCCAAACCGTAGTTTAGAGATCAGTCTAGAGGAATTTTCTCATCTGTGTAGTCTCAGGAACTTAGGAATCCAAATCGACAGGTCAAGTGACAGGCTATTGATGTATGAGGCTGTGGGAGCTGGTGAGTCAGGTCAGGTGATAGGACAAAAGTCCCAAGAACTGGAGGTTGGACAATAATGAGCCAGATGCAAGATACGCAGGGTAAGAGAGCAAGCTTTTCCAAAGCAGTCTTATAAATTGGAGTCAGACCATGTCCCCAAGGGAAACTAAAGGTGGGTGGTGCATTCTTAATGTTTTTTGTTGTTGTTAAGTGCCCTGGAGTTGGTTTCCATTCTTAGCAACCCTGTTTGAGGTTTCCAGGGAATGAATGAGTAGTGAGTTAGAACTCTGACTTTGCTGCTGTTCATACTGACCTTATGGTCGAGTGCTTATCCTGTGGTGCCATACCAGGACTCCTCTGAATGCATAGCTCAACTCTAATCTTTATTACTGTTTTTATTGTTAAGTACCATAGAGTCAGTTCCGACTCATAGTGACCCTGCACAGGGTTTCTGAGGCTGCAAATCTTATATGGGAGCAGAAAGCCTCATCTTTTTCCCGTGAAACAGCTGGTAGTTTCGAACTGTTGACCTTGAGGTGAGCAGCCCAATTCGTAACCACTACACTACCAAAGGAGTCCTGGTGTGGTGCTGTGAGTTAATGTGTCCGACTGAAAAGCTGTTTGAACCACAAGGTCAGTGGTTCAAGCTCAGCAGTTGCTCCTTGGAAACCCTATACAGGTTTGCTATGGGTCGGAACCGACTCAATGGCACTTAACAACAACAACAATGCTACCAGAGCTCCTTAATCTACTCCTTGTTGTTGTTGTTGTTGTTAAGTGCCGTCAAGTCGATTCCGACCCATAGTGACCCTGTACAGGGTTTCCGAGGGTGTAAATCCTTATGGGAGTAGAAAGCCTCATCTTTCTCCCGCGGAGTGGCTGGTAGTTTCGAACCACTGACCTTAAGGTTCGCAGCCCTATTCGTAACCACTACGCTACCAGAGCCCTACCTTAATCTTTATTCTTTAGCATCTCTTTTCAAAATGGGTCCATAATCACAGACATAGAGACTTGGATTTACAATACATCACAAAACGGAGGAATTTGACAAGAAGGGCTATAATAAATAATTAGCTGTCCTGCAGAAAGCATTTGTTGTTGTTGTTATGTGCCATGGAGTCGGTTCTGATTCATAGCCACCCTGCACAGGGTTTCTGAGGCTGTAAATCTTTACAGGAGCAGAGCGCCTCATCTTTCTCCCATGGAACAGCTGGTAGTTTTGAACTGCTGACCTTGCGGTTCGCAGCCTGAATTCGTAACCACTATGCTACCAGAGCAGAAAGCATTTAAAGAAGCAGAAATGACATAAATATTTGTACTGACATACTGTAAATTCTCTAGAGCACTGTTGTTGTTAAGTGCCGTTGTGTCGGTTTTGACCCATAGCAACCCTGTATGGGGTATCCAAGGAGAGGCTGGTGAGCATGAACTGCCGACCTTGTGGCTCAAACCGACTTTGCAGTCCAGCGCATTAACCCACAGCGCCACACCAGGACGCCTAGAGCACTGTTACATCTATTTAATTCTCAAAAGAACCTTATAGGATGACGTTACCAAGATTTCATAGGTAAGGAAGCAGAGGCATAACTATTTTCCCAAGTTGACACAGCAGTTGAGTTGCAGTTATAGAAGTATTGCCCAACAAAGCACAAATTTCCAATTCTAGATTTCCCTACATTGTCCCAGGACATTTTTCAGTTGCCATGAGTTTTTTTTTAAATAGTGCCATTTTGTAGGTTCTGACCCATAGCACCCTATATAGGGTTTCCGCGGAACAGCTGGTGAGTTTGTACCACCGACCTTGCGGATCAAACTGACTTTGCAGTCCAGCGCATTAACCCACACCACCACACCAGGACTCCAGTTACATGTCAGTTAATTATTAAAAGCACCTTTAGCATCTAGAAGTATAATCTAAAGAGAATAGTAATAAATGGCAGAGTCTTGGTGCTTTTACCCTTTACATTTGATTTCAGTATGAGTTCGGAAATAAGTGCCTGTTGGGAAAAATTCTAGCAATATTTAGAAAATATAGATGAACTATGTCCAAAGGAAAACCATTGATTTTGAAATAAAAAAATTTAAGAATCCTTAAATGAGTCTTTAATATTCATCATCCTTTATGACTCTTAGTGTTTATAATATGAGATACTAAACAAGAGGACTCGTCTTAAATAGGAACAGGAAAAAGACTTAAATTTTGTTTTTATTATATAGAGATACGTTTGAAAAGCCTTACAGGATATAATTTTCTCTTTTGTTGATCTAATTCTAGAGTGATGTTAATTTCCACATAAAGTGTGATAACCTCAGAGATAATTGACATTAAAAAAATTTTTCTATTTAATGTTGACAGTGTATTTTGAGTATGATAATCCTATTCTTCAACATAACTCAAATTATTAATGAAAATCAATTTGATAAACATGATTTAGTTTATCAGAATTTGAATAACAGATGCAGTCTATTTTATGGGACTATACCTGTATCCTTATTATATAAAGCATGTTTTCTTAATTCTGTTTAAAGCAGAACTTTGCTAAATGAATGTCTTTTCCTACTGAATTGCACTGTAATTGGACTTACCTTATATTACTAATTGCTTAACATTTTTGATAAACCAGTTAGTAAACCTGTTGCCATTGAGTTAGATTCCGTTTCATAATGACCTCTTAGGACAGAGTAGAACTGCCCCATAAAATTTCCAAGGCTGCAGTACAGTTCTTTGTGAATGCAGATTCCCTTTTCTTTCTTCCACTGAGCACCTGGTGGATTTGAATTGCCAGCCTTTGGGTGTGAACTGAGTGCTTAACCGCTGTGCCACAGGGCTCCTCTTAATATTTGATGATGATGTTGTTGTTAGTGGTGTTAAATGCCATGGAGTTAGTTCTAACCTATAGTGACCCTGAATAGGGTTTCCGAGGCTTTTAAAAAAATCTTTGCAGGAATAGAAAGTCTCATCTTTCTTGTGGGCTCAAACTGCTAACCTTGTGATTGGCGCAGGTCCAGTGCTTATCTTATGTAGCTAGCCATCATGCTTCTCAAACATTTGATGATGATGTTAATGTTCAGGGCCTTTAAGTCATAGTGACTGCTAATTCTTAAACTGTAATTTTCACTGTTAACAGATGGTTAGCACTTTTGGAACAAATGCACTTAAATGTGTAGTATTCAGGTTTTTCTGTGTAGGGACTACTACTTACCATTTTATCAGGTTAAGATTTGTTTTTTTGTGTGTGTAATTAAATTGTCTTAGATTGAGAAGTATATATAGAGATCAAACCTAACCAAACCCTACTGCCATTGAGTCATTTCTGACGCAGAGCAGCCCATATAGGGTTTCTGAGACTCTAAATCTTTACCAGAGTAAATAGCCTCATCTTTCTCCTGAGGAACAACTGGTGGATTTGAACGGTCAGCCTCTCGGTTAGCAACCCACAGTGCCAGCAGGGCTTATAGATACAAATACACATAGAAGAAGTCAAGTGATGTAATGATTTATTTAAGTAAAAGATGTTTTCTTTTAAAGTCTGTGTTTTCTTAAGCTAATTAATGAACGTATTACTTTTTGATGAAAAGATAATAGAAGTTTCTTTTGCGTGTGTTAACTATTCCTTAGGATTACAGAAATTCTAAGTGTAAGCCATAAGAAAGAGTATTTAACATAATTTTGAATTATCCTTTATACTTCACGCATTCTTTCTTTAACTAGATCTTCGTTGATTATAGGATATTCATAGTTATTGATGAATTTTTTATTTTGTAAAGTGCGTTTTAGATTTCTAAGTCTTAGCTACCAAACACAGGGAGTCAAGCTCAGTTATTACTATTGGAAACACTTGAATGAAAGTGTTAGCTCTAACTTAAATTTATATTCGTTATAAGCAGTAAGATAATAAATTAGAAAGTTATTTTAATTGCTATGGATATTAGTAGAGTATTTAATAATTTAGATAAAACTATAAAATAACTGATGTCTAAAGGAACAAACCCTATTTTTACAGTATATCTAAATGAGTGTTAAAATGCAAGAGATGAATTGTTAGTGGTGGTGCTGTGCCGTGGAGTCTGTAACAACTCATAGCGACCCAGTATAGGATTTCTGAGGCTATAAATCTTTACGGGAGTAGATGCCTCATCTTTCTCCTGTGAATGGCTGGTAGTGTCAAACTGCTGACTTGAGTTTAGCTGTCCAACTCACAACCACTACGCTGCCAGAAACTGTTAGTAGACCCTGTAAAAGATAAGTAACAATTAAAGATATATATACATTTATGTATTGGGATCTTGCTTAGTAAATAGTACTTACATTAGTCCTCTTCATAATCAACATAAAATGCACTGCCTATTTGTTTGAGCTTATTTTGTCATATGTTTATTATTTAATTATATATTACTTGATGTGATATAATAATGATTTTATTATTATATTTTTACACAAATAATGTATATGAGATTTTCCAAACCACACTACCCCCTGGCACATTATGTGTACTATATATGTGTTACATGCATGAGTATGTTATTTATGTGGGTGCAATATATGTGAAAAATAACGATGTACATGTATTTTTCTGTCTGTTTTCACCAGGTTTTTTCATTTTGTTTTTAATTCTTTATCTGTAATTTTTTGCTTAAAGAATTTTGTGTAGAGAACTTGAGAGGGAAAGGGAAGTATGTTTTATTTTTCTGTTCTCTTTATAAAACATGTGAACCCTCTATGACAGATACTTTATTCTACATAGAAACCATCTAAAAGTTATTATGACTCAGTATGGGTTCTGAACAGGGTCACTATGAGTCGGAACCGACTCCACGGCACATAACAACAACAACAATGCATCCTAAAAGTTACCATGTTTGGTTTTCATTCTTTATTAATTATTATGTATTCACTAATAATTAACAAAGAAAACAGTTAACAAAAAGTAGTTTTCATTTCACTATTTTCCCACTTTTTTTTTTTTTTTTTTTTTTGTAATAGAGAAGAAGTTCGTGCCCCAATTCCTCAAAAGCAGGAAATATTGGTGGAACCAGAACCTTTGTTTGGTGGTAAGTTTACCTCTTTTTCCTTAGTTTTATTTGACTTTACTGTTGTCTGTAATGTTTTAATGAAATGTCAAAAAATGTGAAAACTTTTAACACAATGTAGAGTCAGTTCTTGTGATTTTTATTCCTCTTAGGATAGTTGTACACCGAACTCTTTTTAAGGAGTGAACCAGAATAATAAAAAACGATGCTTATTGTAGAAAGCCAAAAGTAAGAAAGTTAGATAGAGAATTACTGTTCTATAATGAAAACGAAATTATCACCAGATAAAAGACTCACATTATTTATAATTTTCTAGATAACTGCATAATTGCTATATCATTACAATGTTGGGTATACTTTATTGTCCCATTCTTAATTTTGAAAGGGTTATTTCTATTTTAAACAGAGGAGACAGTAACCACAATTTTTGTAGATAATTGTGATTTCGATCTGAGTACATAGAGAAGATGGTGGAGAATGAGACATTTAATCAGATTTAAAGGAAATGTATAGTGTCAGCTTAATGAACACTTATTTTCCATTGGTGAACTAAGTATATTATATGTATTAGTACATGTTAAAAAAATAGAATATATAGTTTTAATCTGAGAAAACAGAAATGTATATTGTGGATAGTAAGAACAATAGTGCAGAGAAAGTTTGTTTTGAAAGTTGAGAGCAAGAGAGCTATAAGTTTTTAAGGTAAACTAGAAAAGAGAAGAAATAAGTTATAAGAAAAAGATGAAAATTAAATAAACCACATCTTTGGATTTGACAGAACATCTTAGTTTAGAGTTTTTTATGATAGACCTTTGGCATGAATTAAAAGAATGCACCCTTTATTTTCAAAAATATATAAAGGTGAGTGGAAGAAAACTAAAAGGTCTGCATACTGAATTATCTATATATGTGTGTGTATTTGTGTTTTCAGGACTATTAGGTTTAGCCGGCATTGTGTTGTTATATAACAGAAGTGCTGTTACATACCAGAAGCATTTTTCATAATTTTTTTTCACTGTATAATTGATTTTGGAGCCTTGGAGTAAATGCTTTTAGACGCTGCTCTATATTCTCCTTTTTTAAGGAATAAGAGAAAACCTGTGAATGGGGGAGACTATAGGAAATAGATTCTATGCTATCTTTTGAACAAAAAGGCAGAAAAATTCCATTTGAAACCTTAATTTCCTCCTTTTATGTCTGGACTATCATACATTAAGAAAGGGAATGAGTATGACTTTATCCAGTTAGGAAGCCTGTCCTAATTTTCATTGGTTAGACCTTTTTAACTTGAAGAAGGTCTTTGAAGATAACTATTTTCCTCATACTAGTATTGATTTAAAGCAGCAGTTTGTGTGGTCTAGGGTCCCTAATACAGGGGTTCTATAAGGTCAAATATTTTCATGGTAATACTAAGATATTTTTTGCCTTTATCATTGTGTCGACCTTTGCACAGACGGTTCAAAAGTAATTGTGAGGCAAACTGCTTGTATCTTAGTTGAATCACAGCAGTAATATCAAACAGTACTTCTTGTTGTTGTTAGGTGTTGTTGAGTCAGTTCCAACCAATAGCTACTCTGTATGGAGTTTCCCAGGAGCGGCTGGTGAACTTGAAATGCCAACTGTGCTGTTCACACCAGCTTTGCAGTCCAGTGCATTAACTCACAGTACCACACCAGGACGCCACCAAACAGTACTACTAGTTGTTACATTCTTCATAGTTACAGGCTCACTGTTTCAAGGGAAGGGGCCAATTTTGTTAAATGTTTATCCTTGAATATACATCTTATTGATAGTCTGTGTGATGAAGTAGGATGTATATATAAAACACGTTTGCATACTAAAATATGATGGCCGTCTTAAGTAAAAGTACTTGTATAATTGTTTGATTTGTAAGTTGAGCAAGCAGCTCTTGATATGAAACACTGTTTTACTTGAAAAATGGCTAACAAATAGTAGTGATTTGTTTTTGTTGTTTTGTGCCGTCGAGTTGGTTCTGACTCATAATTGAACCTAAGCAGAGCAGAATGAAACACTGCACAGTCCTGCGCCATATTCATAGTTGCTGCTAGGCTTGAGCCCATTGTTGCTGCCACAGTGCCAATCCATCTTAAAGGGGGTCTCCCTCTTTTTCTCTGTCCCTCCACTTTATCAAGCATGATGTGCTTCTCCAGAAACTTGTCCCTCCTTATAATATGTCTGTATGACAGACAAAGTCTGGTTAATGAGCATTCTGGTTGTACTTCTTCCAACATAGATTTGTTTTTTCTTCTAGCAGTCCATGGTACTTTTAATATTTTTCTCCAGTATCATAACTCAAAATGCATCCATTTTTCTGTGGTCTTCCTTAGTCATTGTTCAACTTTCACATACATATAAGGCTGTTGAAAATACCATGGTTTGGGTCAGACACACTTTAGTCCTCAAATTAACATCTTTGCTCTTGAACTAAGAGGTCTCGTAAAGCAGATTTGCCTAATGCGATGTATTTCATTTGATTTCTTGACTGCTGCTTCCATGAGTGTTGATGGTGGGTTCAAGCAAATTGAAGTTTTTCTTCAACTTCAATTTTTTCCATTTATCATGATGTTATTTATTGGTTCAAATTTGGGGGGGAGTGTTGTTTTATATTTAATTTTCCGTAAAGTCCACTGATCGTCACAAAAAACAGAAAATGAAACTAAGACGAAAACAAATGTCCAACTGAGATCTAATGGCCCAGGGCTATGGAAGGAGATGTGGCACTGGACTGCTGGGTGTGCACTAGGGCCTGGCTGAAGGCGGAGGGGAGACACAGGAGGTAATGAGGAGGCAGGGTGGCTGGGGGTTTTGTTAATCGCTGCACTGTGATGGCGTTGAGCAGGTTGTTTTCCTTCAGGGTCTGGCTCTCATCAGCCAGCTCTCTGTTTGGGAAGGAAGTCATGAGGACGAAGGTGGTGGCAGCCATGGCTGGCTGGTCATCCAAGATGAAGAGAGCTGGATGTCGCTGATCCTATGACTGTGGTTGAATTTCTGCACCAGCCTCCTACAGTTAGTGAGCTGGATATGGATATCGGTGGTAGGCTCTGACTCATTGATTGAGATGGAGGAGCTAGCTTTGGCTTCATTTTCTGCCTGTTTGGCTGGAGAGCTGGTATTCAACACCTGGGGGCAGTGCTGCCCAGTTTCTGACCCTTGCCAGTGAAGGCTTTGAAGGCTCCCTTGGGCTTCACAAAGTCCTTGTCTCAATGGTCTTCTGTGTCCAAGTTCACCTGCCCACCATGAGCTAACCGCCTCAGCTTGGCTGGCACTTCCCTCTTTGGATAAACTCCAGAAACTGGGCATTAAATGGGTCTTGCTAGCTTCAAAGCTCGCTATTGTCCAAGCTAAATCCACTCTTAAGAGCTTCAACACCACATGAACATCTTGACCAGAATGCTGTCTCCTTTCTCCTGACACGTATGCAGATTCTTCCCCTGGTGCTGCCCCAAGGCAGTAACCACCCCCTGCAAATAGTCTCAGTGTACTGGTCTCTTTGGGGCTTTGGTCACTCGCTTCACGGCTATGGCTCCATACTCCTTGGCACCTTTAAAGACATCATCCACTAGTTCATTGGGACTTTTCTTCTGGGGAGGTCCAACAATCTGTCATCTCTGAAGCCCCAACGTAAAACCTCTGGCCCTCTTCCTCCTTGTCTTGGTCATAAATGAGGTCTCGAAAGGATGTCACCCTATTATCACTGGGGCAGTGCCTCTGGACACTGAACTGGGGGCTACCTGTGAAATGGTCACGATGTCTTCATTCCCTCATAAAAGCTTGCTAGGATGATCTGCAAGTCACAGCTGCCAATTTGAGATGGAAGCGGACCCAGTCCTCCTCACACCCGTCACCACCACAAACTCTTAAGTGCATCCTGTCACTCTGCCACTATCCTTGCCTATTGGTCCAATTTTGAGCATTTTTGTTTCCTTTACATTGAGGTGCAACCCATACCAAAAGGCTGTGGTCTTTGATCTTCTTCAGTAAGTATTATAAGTCCTCTTCGCTTTCAGCAAACAGTTTTGTATCATCTGTATATCGCAGGTTGTTGATTAGCCTTTCTGCAATCTTGATGCCATATTCTTTATGTATTCCAGCTTCTTGGATTATTTGCTCAGCATACAGATTGAATAAATATGGTGAAAGAATAAATCCTGGTGCACACCTTTCCTGATTTTAAACTATTTAGTATCCCCTTGTTCTGTTCAAACAATTTCCTCTTGGTCTGTGTACAAGTTCCTATGAGCACGATCAAGTATTCCAGAATATTCATTCTCCACAGTGGTGTCCGTAATTTGTCATGGTCTACACAGTTGAAAGTCTTTGCATAAGTAAACAGGTAAACATCTTCTGGTATTCTCTGCTTTTAGCCAAGAGCCATCTACATCAGCAATGATATCCCTTGTTCCACATCCTTGTCTGAATCTGGCCTGATGCTCTGGCAGTTCTCTGCCAATGAACTGTTGCGGCCGTTTTTTATTAAAATACCTTTAGCAAAATTAACTTGCATGTGATATTAATGGTATTAGACTTGGGTATTTGGTACCATTTTCTTGTAAATGAACTAAGTGGGTCTGTTACTTAAAGGAACACATCTGACTACTTGTTTCCACTAATTAAAATAATGAGTGAGCTTTCAGGGACATATTAGAACTGTGGAAGATTTGTTTTAACCTTTATAAATAAGCGTGGCAGCTTCCCAATACTTAAAGACTTTCTGATAAGATCATCGATAACACTGTTGTTGTTAGGTGCCATTGAGTCATTTCCAACTCAGCAACCCCATGCACCACAGAGCAAAACATTGCCCAGTACTGCACAATTATTGTTATGCTTGAACCTGTTGCTGCTGTTACCGTGCCAGTCCATCTTATTGGAGATCTTTCACTTTCTTACTTACCCTCCACTTTACCAAGCATGATATCCTCCTCCAGTTACTGATCCCTCTTAATCACATGTCCGAATTGTCAACATCCTGGCTCCTAAGAAACATTCTGACTATACTT